CTTGGGGGTTTTTTTTTTTTTTTTTTGAGACAGGGTCTTGGTCCTTTGTCCAGGCCAGAGTGCAGTGGCATCATCATAGCTCACTACAGTGTGGCCTCAAATATCTGAGCTCTGCCTAAGGCTCCTGACAGTTATAACTGAGACTACAGGTGTGAGCCACTGTGCCCAGCTTGGTCCTTAGCTTTGTTGCCACTTGGTTGTGAAATTGTGACTGTTTAAACAAATGCTTATCTAAGCAGGGTACAACAATTTTTCTAGAAGCATAAATAACACTTTATTAGCTAGAACTTGGGTTATATAATCATTCTTTGCCACAGAGGGTGCCGAAAAAGTGAATGTCTGTCTTTTATTTTTACCTTTTTTTTAAACCTGGATACTGCCTCATTTTATACCATATAATGAGTATTTCTTTTTACTTTTTTTTAACGCCTCAAAAGAGGCTGGCAAGAGAGAAGAGGGAGGGAATGGTTTAGGTAGTATGTTCAACTACCTATATAGTATATAGGTAGTATATATGCTACAATAGCCCCTAAGAAATGGGACGAAAATTCATACTTTTGTCTTCTGTCTGGTTCCAAAGTCCTTGTCTTTCCCTGATTTGCTGATTTACTTTGACTCCTTATCTCCTAGCTACCATTTTTAAAATTTGTAATGTTGAGATTGCCAGTGGGTTTTAATCACATACTTTTTACTATTCAGTATCCTGGTAGGAAATAGAAGGTATATTTAAATGGTGTAATTGAATTGAGTTTAGTAAAAGGACTGTTGACAATAGATAGCAGTCTGATCAGAGTTAAGGAAAACTTAAGGAAAGGTTAAGTATTTCATATATAGAGGGTGCCAAAAAATGTATACGTATTTTAAGCGATGTTATCTATGCGTGACTTTTCTTTTTTTTTTGGCCAGGGCTAGGTTTGAACCTGCCACCTCTGATGTATGGGGCCAGCGCCCTACCCTTTTGAGCCACAGGCGCCGCCCCTTCAATTCAAAGTTGAATTGAAGTATAGTAACAATGTGTAGGATGACATTTGCTCAAAAGATGGCGTTAATCAAATGAATGCCAATGTCACAATGAGATAGGTGAGACTGTCAAAATGACAGAAGCATGGTTGTCATTCTAAGAGTGCAAGACCATTTTGGACATTGTGGAAGTACAACAACAATGGAGGCGTGACTATGCAGCAGAACCTTGATTCAGTATACCTAGTGACTATTTTTGAGATGCATGGTACATGGTACTATGTGCAGTGTGTACAAAGGAAGATCTGGGAAGTCTTACACAGCAACAAGTCTTACTGCTTCTGTGATGTTGGAATAGTTTATATGTTTGCCACAGAAATCTATCAGTGTTCATGTGAGACAGGAGTTAGCAGAATAAGCATATGATGCGTTTTTTTTTTTCTGTACAGAACCATTTTATTGCCGCAAAAATCTCCCACAACCTCTTTAAGCATATGATGCATTCTTAAAACAGCAAAATGGAAGTTTTATTTATTTATTTATTTTTCTGAGACAATCTCATTCTTATTAACCCTAGCTAGAGTGCCAGGCTAGCTCCCAGTAATGTCAAACTCCTGAGTTCAAGTGATCCTCCTATCTTAGCCTCCTGATTTGCTGTGACTATGGGCATTGCCACCATGCCCAACTGATTTTTCTATTTTTAGTAGAGATGGGGTCTTACTCTTGGTGAGCCTGATCTTTTTTTTTTAAGAGACAGAGTCTCACTTTATTGCCCTCGGTAAAGTCCTGTGGTGTCACAGCTCACAGCAACCTCCAACATCTAGGTTTAGGTGATTATTTTGCCTCAGCCTGCAGAGTAACTGGGACTATAGGCGCCCTCCACAACATCTGGCTATTTTTTGTTGCAGTTTGGCTGGGGCCGGATTCGAACTTGCCACCCTCGGTATATGGGCCCCTACCCACTGAGCCACAGGCATCGCTCTGAGGCTGGTCTTGAGGCACCTGTGGCTGGTCTTAAACTCTGGAGCTCAAGTGATCTTCCCACTTTGCCCTCCGAGAGTGCTAGGATTATAGGCATGAACCATCATGCTCGGTTGAAAGCTTTTATCCCAAGATTATTATATTGACTGAGACATGAGAGCTTACCTCAGTGAGAATTTACCAGGACAATGGATAAGACAAAGAGGTATGGTTGAGTTTCTCCCATGTTCTCCTGACTTAACATCCCTTGACTTCTACTCATGGGGGAGCATAAAGGATATAGTATATTGTAGAAAACTGGCTAGATTGACAGTACTTTCAGAAGAAATTGAAACATGTGCATGGTGATACAAGTGAATACTTTGGTCAACATTACTCTAGTAGTTCACCATAATCAGAAGTGTTTAGACTTTGATGGTAACCACTTTTGAGCACCTCTTGTAATTGTAGAAGTCAAACATGATCTGTATTCATTTTTCGTTAATAGTATATATTATTATAATTTTAATAGTTTTTTCCTTTCTTAAAATGTGTATACATTATTTTGGTACCATCTATATATTAATAATGGAGAGATTTTGCCATTTCTAAATTCTAAGGAAGCAAGGGAACAGGGTATATACAGGAAGAGAATGGCTTTAATAGTGAGGTATGCCATCTTGCCAGAGCATTTAGGAGAATTAACACCCAATGACACTTTTCTCCACCATCCGATTTTTTGCTAATGCTTCCCATGGACTGAACTAAGCAGAATCTAGAGGTTAAGGGAACATTTTGGTGCAGAACATATAGTCAGCCTATTTAAGCATAGGGCAAGGTAGAGAAGAATAGAGATGGATTTGAAGTAGCAAAAGGAAAATATTCTGCACACATCTGCAAGATGGAAGAAGAAAAGTTTAAGGAAAGGTAAGATATATTAGGGAGGTACGTGTGTCCATAAATATATGAAAAGATGTTTAAACTCACTAGCAATCTAGGAAATCAAATCAAAGTCATGGGGAGATAATCAGTACACATCAGATTAATAAAAAGTTACTGCTAAGTTTGACAAGAAAAGTGGAACTGCTTGGCTCGGTGGCTAAGGCGCCAGCCACATACACCTAAGGTGGCAGGTTCGAATCCCCATCCCGGGCCCGCCAAACAACAGTGATGGCTGCAACCAAAAAAAAAATGGCTAGGCGTTGTGGCGGGCGCCTGTGGTCCCAGCTACTTGGGAGGCGGAGGCAGGAGACTCACTTGAGCCCAGGAGTTGGAGGTTGCTGTGAGCATGATGCCATGGCACTCTACCCAGGGGGATAGCTTGAGGCTCTGTCTCAAAAAAAAAAAAAAGTGGAACTGCTTATTTGCTACTAATAGTGTAATTAGTACAGCTCTTATGGTAAACATTTGGCTCTGTTGCATACAAAATTGAGTTTTGCACATACCTTTTGACTAAGAATTTTATTTTTAAGTATTTACTGTCTCTCTCTCTCTTTTTTTGAATTAAGACAGGGTCTTGTTCTGTTGCCCAGGCTAGAAAAACAGTGGTGTTTTCATAGCTTACTATAGGCTCCAATTCCTAGATCAAGTGATCCTCCTGCCTCAGCCTCCCAAGTAGCTGGAACTGTAGCATGTGCTATCAAGCTCAGCTAATTTTTCTACTTTTTGTAGACATGGGTGTTGCTTTTGCTTAGGCTGGCCTTGAACTCCTGGCCTCAAGCATTCCATGTGCTTTGGCTTTCTAAAGTTCCTAGCATTAGGAATAACAGGTGTGAGCCTTACTTCCTGACTAGTGTTTACCTTCTTAATTTTGCCCCAGGAGATTTATGGAAAAATATTCATAGTAGTATTGTTCATAGTAGCCCAAAGAGGAAATAACCTAAGTATTAATCAGCATTTGAATGGATAAGTAAATTTTTTTTTTTTTTTTGAGACAGAATCTTACTTTGTCACCCTTGGTAGAGTGCTGTGGTGGCAGAGCTCACAGCAACCTCAAACTCTTGGGCTCAAGTGATCCTCTTGCCTCAGCCTCCCAAATAGCTGGGACTATAGGTGCTCACCACAATGCCCGGCTATTTTTAGAGATGGGGATCTAGCTCTTGCTTAGGCTTGTCTTGAACCTGTGAGGCAATCCACCTACTTTGGCCTCCCAGAGTGCTAGGATTACAGGCATGTTGAGCCACCTTGCCCAGCCTGTAAGTAAATTGTTGAGGCATAGAATACTCTATAGCAGAAAAAAAAGGATAAACTTGAAAGAAGTCACAGAAGCAGGTAGTGTGATTCCATTTATAGAAGGCTTATAACAAGCAAAAGCAAAACTAGGTAACTCAGAATGCAGGTTAGGTCTGTGAGGGGAGAGGGTAAGCTCACTAGGGACTTCTGAAGTGCTGTTGACATTTAGCACGTTAGCCTACATGGTAACACACAGGTGCATATTTTATTCTTTCAAATGTTTGCATGCTCTTATGTGTGGTTAAAAAGTGTGAAGTATATGTGGTGGACATTGGAAGGGTGCCATGAACATTGCTGCATGTGCCATATTCAGTTTTTTATCTTAGATATTTATTGATTACCCACTATGCAGAGAATATATTTTGAATGCTGGACAAATAGCGATGACCAAAATTCACTGTTGTACTGAGAATTTTACAGTAGTGATTAAGAACCATTTAACCGGCTCGGCGCCTATAGCTCAACCGGCTAAGGCGCCAGCCACGTACACCTAAGGTGGCGGGTTCGAATCCCCAGCCTGGACCCGCCAAACAACAATGACGGCTGCAACCAAAAAATAGCCGGGCGTTGTGGCGGGCGCCTGTGGTCCCAGCTACTTGGGAGGCGGAGGCAGGAGACTCGCTTGAGCCCAGGAGTTGGAGGTTGCTGTGAGCTGTAATGCCATGGCACTCTACCCAGGGGGACAGCTTGAGGCTCTGTCTCAAAAAAAAAAAAAAAAAAAAAAAAAAAAAAAAGAACCATTTAACCTTTATACCGAGACACCTTTAGGCATATTTATTTCCGAGCACTCTGTAAAGGGTTAACGAACATTTTAAAACACCCCCACCCCCCAGAGATTTAATGAATGTTTATGACCTTTAGGAGGTAGGGAAAGACTAATGGGTAGGTTTGGTACATATTGATAGTGAGGAGAACATAGCATTTAGCTGAATGTGGAGGGTAAGCATAAAGAGGTTTCAAGAATGGCTATAAAATGTGGTACATTCAAATCCACAGAGATTTGAATGGTCAGTCTAAAACTTCTAAGTCAGTATAAGACCAGTCCATTAGGTGTTTTTGAGACAGAGTCTTTTCTTTCATTCTTTCCTTTTTTTTTTTAAGAGATAGAGTCTCACTTTATTGCCTCCAGTAGAGTGCTGTAGCATCACAGCTTACAGCATCCTCCAGCTCTTGGGTTTAGGCGATTCTCTTGCCTCAGTCTCCCAAGTAGCTGGGACTACAGGCGCCTGCCACAACACCTGGCTGTGAGACAGAGTCTTGCTCTTTTGTCAGCCTAGAGTGCCACGGAGTCAGCCTAGCTCACAGCAACCTCAAAGCCCCAGGCACAAGCCATCCTCTTGCCAACCTCCTAAGAAGCTAGGCTATAGACTCCTGCAACAACGCCCATCTGTTTTTTCTTTCTTTAGTGGAGATGGGTCTCATTCTTGCTCAGGCTAGTCTCAAACTCCTGAGAACTCTTGAGCTTGAGCGATCCATCTGCCTTGGCCTTCCAGAGTGCTGGGGTTGTAGGCGTGAGCCAATGCACCCAGCCTTATTAGGTAGGTGTTACAATGAAAAAAATATCATAGAACTTATAAGCAGAAGACATGGCTTCCAGTTCAGCATTGTTGCTTTTCAGCTGTGAAACCATTGGCAAGAGGCAAACTTTAGCTTTTCAGAATTGAGGAGTTTGGATACAAGATAGAGAATCTATAAATGATTTTAAAATAACTTTATTGAAGTATAATTGACGTATTGTAAACCATGGACAGTTAATGACCAAATGAGGTGGTTCGTGCCTATAATCGTAGCATTTTGGGTAGCCAAGTTAGGCCAGGAGTTTGAGGCCACCCTTAGCAACAAAGCAAAAAATGTTAAAAATTAGCCAGCTACTTGGAAGCTGAGGCAAGAAGATGGCTTGAGCACATAATGTTGGGGTTGCAGTGAATTATTAGGCTACTTTCTAGCGTAGGAGTTAAGAATGAGACCTTGTCTCAAAAAAACAATGTAAAGTTTGATAAATTTTGATATATACACCCATGAAACGCTTACTATAATCGAGGTAGTGAACACACTTTTTAACACCCAAAAAGTGTGTTGATGGTCTTTTGTAATCCCTCCCTCTTATTCCTTTTTTCTCCCCTACCACTTACCTGTTTTCCATCCCTATAGGTTAGTTTTCATTTTCTAGAGTTTTGTATAAATGGAGTCATTGTGTATTCTTTTTTGGTCTGGCTTCTTTAATTCAGCATAGTTATTTTAAGATGTATCCCTGTTGTTGGCTCGGCACCTGTAGCTCAGTGGCTAGGGTGCCGGCCACATACACTGGGGCTGGCGGGTTCGAACCTGGCCTGGGGCCGCTAAAAGCAACAATGACAAC